ACAGGGCACCTGGTAACCAGCGATATATGCTTTCCCACTCCCCAACCTTCTCCCCCCTGCTCACCCGCCAATGCTTCCTAGCTGGCTGTGGTCGCTCGACCAGCCAGGAAGTGCAGGCTCCATGTTGCTTGGATTCACCCCACCCACATTGGAGACTGGAGAACAGAGTACTAGAAAGCAGTTTCAGCAGAAAACAGAGCACCCAGTAACCAGTGTTATACGCTTTCCCACCCCCAGCACTTCTTCCCCCCGACCCCTGCTCGGCCTCCCCTGATTCCTTCCGGCCTCAGTCTCTTGGCTGGGAGACAGTGGCTCTTGCTCACACTGGCCAGTTTCCTCAGTGCCATTCCTTTGTTGCTGGTGTTACTTTTTTCTGCTTCTTTTGGTTTCTTCTGTGCTTCTCACCATCTCCCATTCCTTTCTCTTGAACACCTGGCTCCATGTGCCATCTACACTTCTTGAAAGGCTATGAAGCACTGCTCGGCTGGGGAGCTGCTTCCCTGGTCTGTGTCACCACACTGATGGGATCCCTGGGGCCTTTTGTTTGCTTGTTTTCTTTTTTTTTGGCAGCTTGGGAGCCCCTTCTAGCAGGGCTGTACTGCACGACTTGGGAGCCACTTCCTTGGTCTGTGCAGCCTTGCCACTGGGATCCCTGGGAGCATTTTTCTCTCTCTCTTTTTCTTTTTTGTCTTTCTTCATTTCTCAGTTTCTCATCTCACTATACTTACCTTCTTTTCCTGTCTCCTGAATACCTGGTGCTGTGTGACATCTCTGCCCCTTATAGCCAGGCAATACTGCGAGGCCTGGGAGCCACTTCCCTGCTCTTCGCAGCCACTCTGGTGGGATCCCTGGGGACTTTTCTTTTCTACTTTCTTTCTTTTTTTTCTAATTTTTATTTATTTTTTTTTCTCTTTTTTCTTTTTTCCTGTTTTTTTCAATTTCTCAGTTTCTTGTCTCTCCACTCCAGTGGCAAGCTCCCTTAGCACTCTTTTCTTTACTATTATTATTATTTTGGCCCCTGTTTATCTCTCCTCTCTCTCTTCTTTCCCATACCCATCTTAGCTCCACACATCACAACCTCCCCTCTCCTTCCTG